CAAAGGCGTGGGATTACAGGCTGAGCCACCAAGCCCAGCTCTCCCTGGATCTTTATAGAAAAAGGTTGTTGACCTCTAGTTTCTAGGATCCGTAGTTATGTCCCTCTCTTGCTACAGATATTGAAAATGTGCTACAGATACTTTGTCAAGTTTACTAGACATTTATCTATTTCATTAAACTTTTCAAAGAACAAGCTTTTGGTTTTATTGGTTTTCTACATTATTGTTTTTCTATTTTACTGATTTCTGTTCATACCCTTTAAATTTATTTCTTGCTACTTTCTTTTCTTTCTTCTTTTTCTTTTCTTTTCTTTTTCCTTTTTTTGAAGTCAGGTTCTCATTCTGTGCCCTAGACTGGAGTGTAGTGGCACAGTCACGACTCACTGTAGCCTCAACCTCCTAGGCTTAGGCAATCCTTCCACCTCAGCCTCCTGAGTAGCTAGGACAACAGGCACATACCACCACATCTGGCTTATTATTTTCTTTTGGAAAGATGAGGTCTCACTATGTTGCCCAGGCTGGTCCCGAACTCCTTGGCTCAAGTGATCCTCTTGCCTCGGCATCCTAAAGCGCTGGGATTATGGGTATGAACCATCACGCCCCACCACTTTATCTCTTTTGTCAAACTAAATAACAAAGAAAAAAAAAACAGTGAGTGTTTGCACTTAGGCCTTGGTCGCATATGGGACGTTGTGGGGAACCTGCCATTGACACATCTGGCCTGTGCAGGTATTATTCTACTATCCTTTGTGGCTGTCCTTTTGGCAAGAATATGGGAGTGTGCAGAAAAGATATATTACAACTAAAGAGGACTGGGAGAGTCTTTTTTCCCTTGGTGATGCTGAATAAACTATGTGTTGTGTGCCTGCATTTTGACTGCATCTGGTCACATGAGGTCAGGTGTAGAATTTTCCACTTGGGTATCAAGTTGGTTCTCAAAAAATTTTGAATTTTTGAGCATTTCAGATTTTGGATTTTCAGATTAGGGATGCTTATCCTGTAAAATGTTGGAAAACATCTTATTATATATTTTATACAACAAATACAATGAGAACATCACCATGAAGCGAGTTCTGAGTCAGAAATGAATGGGAAATACTGGCCATCCCTAAAGATAGGACAATAGATTGAAAGAGTTCAGGCCAGGTTCAGTGGCTCAGCCTGTAATCCCAGCACTTTGGGAGATCAGTGGATTGCCTGAGCCTGCGGGTTCAAGACCAGCCCGGGCAACTTGGCAAGTCTTCATCACTACAATAAATAGAAGATTAGCCAGGCATGGTAGCATGCGCCTGTAGTTCCAGCTACTTGGAAGGTCGAGGTGGAAGGATCGCTGGAGCCCAGCAGGTTGACACTGGGGTGGCTATGAGTGTGCCACTGCACTCTAGTCCGGGCGACGGAGCAAGACTCCAACTCAAAAAGAAAAAAAAAAAGAGTCTGGTCCTTTGCCCCATTTTGGTAAACATAATCCTTCATTCTCAGTAGTAGCTCCATTGCTACATGTTCATCTATGAAGCTTTCCTCAGTCTTGCTGGCTATACTGAATATCAGTCTGCTGATCATTTCCTTTTTTTTTTTTTTGAATTGGTGTCTCACTCTGTCGCC